TATCATCTGAAGCACCAGGGAAGCAGTAGACAAGTTTGGGGAAATTGCTTTTCAGTCACATTACTGTGTTGACCAGCTCACTTTTGGCCACATTGCATTTGGCCATAAACTTGTAGATATATCAAGAGCTGTATTAAAATGTCTAGACCTTTAGACCCACAATTTCACTGAGAACGAAAAAAAAAATGTGGTCAAAAATTTACTTGCAAAGGTATCCATCAAAAGTTAGCAATGATGCCAAAAAAACAAATGGTGAACATTAGGGTGATGATCCAACATGAGAGTGAGGGTCCAGGAATAGGTATATATACACTGCTTCTTTCTTTTATAAAATACTCAAAAATTGCACTTGTTACTCTAGAGTAATTTGCATAAGCAACATCTAGTAAGATTGAGAATTCAAGTGCTTTTCCTAAAAAAAAAAATCACTCCATCATCAAAGGTTTCGAAATAGTTCTCAAAAAGATGTGAAAACACTTATTACAGCTCTGACATGTGACGAATTGCTGCCCCTTGGTTTTAGGGAAGGCCAGCATGGCAGTAGAATGAGTAGCATTCAGGGATAGATGGGTGGTAGTTACTTGTGAAAGGAGCAGTGGCAACATGAACGATACTTCATCTTCTTTACCTCACTTATATATAGCAAGCAACATAGCAGGGGAGACATACTAAGCCACATGGCTTCCATGTGGAAGTAATTTCATCTCCTAATTAAGATCACATTTACGAAGAAAAGCGGAGGAAGGAAAGCAGCTTAACACGGGTATCATAGCGAAAGCCAGGGGAAGCGGGAGGTCTTTGAAGCCTGGAAAATGAAGGTAGTTGAGGTTCCTAAGGAAGTGGTTTTGTAAACCATGCTTTGTCTCGGTTGTTTTGTGGTCATTATTGGAGCGGTGTCTTAGGCTCATTTAGGGTTTAATTCTAACATATTTATAGAGAAAGAGAGACGAGGCTTGTCTGGATTTGGTAGCACCCCTGTTGTTAGTGGTTAGCCAGAATTTACCCTTAACATCTCATAAAGAGTTCTGTTACCTCACTTCTAGAAGCTTTGCCTTCATGATATTTGAACTGTAAGATTTTAAGCTGTTGGGCTTTTAAAATACAGATGGAAACCTTTAAAGATAAGTTTCCCAAATGCTTTAAACAGACAATTAAGTAATGAAAAGAAAGACGAAAGAGGAACCACGTGGGATTTTAGTACCTGTGCAGGCAGTGTTAATCAGGACCAAAAGAGAGCAAAAGGACGATGACAGTAATTTCTCTGATGGAATTTAGCTGCATTAGCTTGGTTCATGCTGAAACAGATTTACGGAGAAATGTTTTATTTTAGGTTGCCTTGAACCAGTTTATTTTAATCCTATGGAAATAGATTGAGAGCAAAAAAGAAGAATGATTTGTGTAAATAAATTTTCATTCTATTTTGAGGGTCTATTAATAGTTTAATACTGCATATGAAAATAAAATAGAACACAAGAGTATGCTGAATGGCAAAATTTCTTTATGGCTGCAAATCAGCAGTGTGTGTGATGGAAAAATTAAGTCCAGATTTGCTCAAAGTGTATTGGAGACTGGTGTTACCAGCCTTGAGTTAAATGAAGAGAAATTACATTTGGTATTTCAACAGAGCTACCATAGAAGATCAAATTTTTAAAAAGCAAAACCTACCTGTGTGTGCATGTGTGTATATATTTATCCATATACACACACACACACACACACACACAGATTCATAGGAACAGCTTTCAAATTGAATTTTGTCTCAGTATAGATTAATTTAGATAGAATAAGGTACATACAGGTTTTGGGTAGTTGATTATTCAAGATGTGTTATGTTGAAACTGTCACTGATCTGATTTTCAGTACAGAGAGACTAGAATCAGAATCCTGTTTTAATCTGTAGATGTTGTAAAAAAAAAAACCTTCAAAATGAAGTTAAAACTTCCCTGTAGCCCTTTTCATACTGTGAGGTTGTAGGATATATTTGTAGCTTTTCTCATGGCTCTCATTGGTTGTTTTTTGTAAGTTTGTAAATTAACACATAAGTATAGAATTCTGTGTCTATGTGTGCATATGCCTATCTGTGTCCTTGCAGGATTAGAGCCCCTCTCTCTCTTTTGGAGAGGCAGCATGGATTAGGTTGAAAAGCTAGAGGCAGGAAGAAGAGAAGAGCTAACCAGGAGGGCAGAGTTGGTGGCTGAGCTCCGGGGCCAGAATAGCACGAGTTGACCAGTGGCACCCCACACAGTCCCCACAGCCCTAGTGGCTCAGCCTTGCCCCAGCCACCTTCTCACTTCTCTACAGCTCTAGTCTGAGAAATCAGAACAGAATTAAAAAAAATTAAAAAGTGGTGGAAAAAACATTAACTTTCTGATTCAGAATTTCAGAACCAGAAATACATTTCAACATCAGTGAAGTCTCAACATCAGATTTTTGATTGGAGTGAACTAAGCCCAGAAGAAGATAAAGGCGTTGCTAGTCACCAGGAAAAGCAATACCAGCATCAAAACCTCCTGGATGACTGCTATGCATACATTTTGGGAGACTTCTAGTAAAAGTTAAACCAAGAGCCTCTTTGTGATTCGTGTCTTTGCTGTTGGCAGGGATACTGCCTTGGCCAGGAGGCAGAGATCAGAAAAAATGCTTGAACCAAACAGAGATTCTTTTTTCTGAAAGAGAGTAAAATATTGCCTCGGAAGAGGAGTCATCTGATACTAAGTGAAGTTTTCCCTTGATCTTTTTAGGAGTAATTTTAGAAGTCTTCATTAGGCAAAACCAGATCCTTTCCAGATGGTGCCTTATACACCTCATGATGCTAGAGGATCAGATCTGTGTCCCGCGGTGCTGCCCTTGTTTCATGTGTGTTCCAAGCTCCTCAGATTGATTGGGAATCTTTGGCCTCAGGTCACCCTTGATGTCACAGGTCTTTCTTCTTTCATTTATGTTCCCACAGGGGAATTCGCCTTTCCAGTCTTTGAAGCTGTATGGATGCAGCTTGACCTCCTAAGCCACGTAAAAGCACCTACCAGACCACTTGAAGCCCAAAGCTTCAAATTCATGGGACTTTTTCAGGGAATAATCTCCCAATAGCATTATTTACAATTCTCTATTCCAAAACTTAATGACAAGACATATACTTGGGCCATACCTAATCACCTGTCTTGAAGAGAGGCATTTTACTACATGTTGGTAAAGATATTGATGAATATACTATTATACTGTAAATAAATTTATTATTATACATGAGATTTTTCATAATGAAACATCATTGGTAAATTTTATTGAACACCTACTATGTGACAGGCCCTGTGCATTGGCTCCAGGTGAAAAGGGCAGATATATGGCCATGTCCTCATGGAGTTGACATAGTGCAAAATGATGCCCTTATTAAGGAGGGTAAAGGGCTCTGGATTCTGTCTTGTGGTCTATTTACACGTCTTTGTTTCTATTGAGTGTAAGTTTTTGTTAAAAAATACAACACATACACAGAAAAGTACACAAATCATGTGTATGACTCAGACAATTTTCACTGAGTGAACTCATCCATGAAACCAAGAGACCAAATACTGCCAGGCTCCAGAAGCCCCCTTTTAAACCTCATTCAGTTACTAACCATCCCAGGGTAACTACTTTTCTGATTTCTGATACCATAGACTCATTTTCCCTTGTTTTGAACTTTATAGAAATGGAAGCATATGTTTTATGTATTTATTTATTTGGCTGTGCCAAGTCTTAGTTGCTACATGTGGGATCTTTAGTTGCAGGATGTGGGCTCTTGTTCCCCGACCTGGGACTGAACCCGGACTCCCTGCATGGGGAGCTGGAGTCTTAACCACTGGACTGCAAGGGAAGTCCCCAGAAGCATATGTTATATGATCTGTGTCTGGTTTTGTTTGTTCAGTACTATGTTTGCGAGATTCATCGGAGTTGTTGCCTATAATTGGGTTCATTCGTTCTGCTTGCTGTGTCACAGTCCCTTGTATATTGCAATTTATTTATCTTTTCTATCATTAAAGACATTGGGATTATTTCCAGCTTGGGGCTATCACTGACATTGCCACTGTCAAGATTTGAGTACGTGTCTTTCGGCAAACATTTCTGTTGGGGATACACCTGTTGAGTTGGAATGCTGAGATTATTTATATATCCATCCGTAGTACATACTGCCAAGCAGTTTTCTCAAGTGTTTATATCAAGTGATAGTTCTACCAGCAACATATAAAAGTTCCAATTACTCCACATCCTTGCCAAATTTGACATTATGTACTTTTTCATCTTTGTGTGTGTTTTAATTTAAAAAAATAAGAACAGAACCACTGGGACTTGGTGACAAACAATGAAACATCATGAAGTTTATGGCAACAGTGATAATCCCTTGGATTTGGGGCTGTGTCAGTGATTCAGAATGGCAGTATATTGAATTACAAACTGCTGAACTGTTGATGGAATCAAAGCCACTGTTTATAATAAGAAATCCTGCAAAGGTTGGCCTTTCTTACATTTTGAGTTGTGGCGTTTTTAGACCAGCAGCGTTGGACCACCTTTTAATGCAAGAGAGCCAAATTAGAACAAATATTTACAGGCTGTGCTCTTTGAATTTCAGAATGGACAAAGCTTTACTGAGACCTGGAAAAGAAACATGCATTTGATATGTGTTAACCTACCATATTCAGGAGAAGACAAGAAGGGAGAAGGTTGTAGAAGCTGTCGGCCATTGAACTATTGACATCAGATCATATTTGAGAAATGGCTGTAGGGAGATAGCTGTAATGCTAAAATAGCTTGTCAACAATATTGTCAAGCTAGGAGGGTGAACTTTTAGACTGAGATCCTCAGGAGGTGGCTATATTGGTAGCCCATCATACCCACTTTAATAGCATCTCCCAAGAAGGAGTTGTAAATATAATGGATCCAGGCCCTAAGCCCATGACAGTAGGGACCAGCTCAAGTAAAGATGAACCTTATTCCTGGAAAGATGCTGATGATTTCCTCTTTCTTTTCAGTCCAAGATTTACACTTACACACCAACCTTATATTTGGACTTTAAATTGGACCAAGGAGCGAAGCATGTGCAATCTATTCCTAAAGGTATGATGGATTCTGGGGTTTAGTAATCCTTTCAGGGTGAAAAAACCATAAGGGCCGCTTTCTCTGGAATGAGTTTGTTTCTGAACCTCAACACAAAGTTCTATGAACCTGTGTATGTTTAATTATGTTTAAATGAGCAAATAGTGCTTGAGCTTTTCAAGTTAAGAAAATCAGGAGGAATTCATAGAATGTTAGGGCCAATCCATTGGGGCCACCCCTCATTTCACTGGTGTGAACACTGAGGCCCAACAGATTCATTACTTGCTCAAGGCCTTGTAAGGACTTGCTGGACATGGCAGGACGTTTATCCAGGTCTCCTGACTTCCCAGCCACTTTTGACTCACAATTCCTGGAGGCAATCCAACCTGTGTTACTTATGAACAAGTGCATTCTTGATTGAGATACAGCTTTTGTTATGGAGGATTTACTTATAAGTCACCATTTAAATCCAAAGAACAATTAGAAAACTCCTCAAGTATTTAAAGCCAGTTTTAGTTTTAAAAAGGGCCACCCCTGAAGTCATTAGGTACAGTATTAACCTTGGACCCATTCTTTTCTTTTTTGTTTTTTTCCACTCTGGCTACTTTTAAGTTCAGAAAGGTTTTTTACATGAATGCAATTAAACATGTGCCTACCTTCATCCATACTTTTTATAACAGTAAGTGTGACAGCACATATGCTTTAAGTTTTAATGCTGTGGGTTTTTTCTTTTATTTTTTGAGTTTGCTTCCCTCACAACTCTCTCCCCCACCTCTCATCTACCCATAGCAGTATCCTCTCTGTATCCTAGATCAGGAGTAGTTCAGAGATAATCCTTGAATAAGATCTTGCAGTATTTTTCTCAACACTTACTTCTGTATACATATATGTACATGTAAATGTACACAAATATAGGGTTTTGTCCTTGTTTTACTAAAATGAAATCATAAATAAATTTTTGCATCTTGCTTTTATGACTGAACCTCATGGAAATTCCTCAGGATCCGCTCCTTTGCCTTTGAACCCATTCTATGCCCTAGGTTGACTACAATGCATTTAGCTCTTCCCTCTCAGCAGGTGCTCCCCTTGTTTCTAGTGCGTGGCTACTGCACACTGGTCTGCAGTGAACATCCTTGTACCCATGTACTTCCTTAGGGGGGTTGTTTTGTTATGACAGGTTTCCAGGGATGATCACGAGCCCTATGCATGTTTAATTTTAAAAGTCTGTCAGATTGCAACTCAGAAAGGCAGTCCTGCATTCCAATAGCAGTATATGAGACAGCAGTTTCTCCATGACCCTACCAATACTTAATGTGTGTGAAAGTGAAGTGAAAGTGAAAGTGTTAGTCGCTCAGTCATGTCTGACTCTTTGCGACCCCATGGACTATAGCCCACTAGGCTCCTCTGTGCAGGATTGTCCAGGTAAGAATACTGGAGTGGCTTGCCATTTCCTCCTCCAGGGGATCTTCCCGACCCAGGAATTGAACCTGGGTCTTCCGCATTGCAAGTGTATTGTTTACCCTCTGAGCCACCAAGGAAGCCTGCGTGATTCATGTTCAATTTGACTCTGTACTTCACCACTACCCTATATATTGCCTCATAAGAGAATATGTATCTGTCAGTTTACAAAGCCATACTTCTAGATTATTTTGTCATTATGGATTTTAAACAGAGTTGTTTCAAAGACATCTTGGGACACATACAAGAACAAGTAGCTTAGAAATGCATGTTTATCATTGGGTCACTGTAAACTCACTTTAAACAAGTCTGTTACAAACCTAATTAGGATGCAGAAAAACGTGTCTTTTGCAGTATGTCACTTTCAGTTATAGTGTGTTCTCCGTTTGCTCCCCATATACACTCATCCATGCTTTCATTGTGTTAGCTGACAAATCTAAAGTTTGAGGCTTCCCTGTCCAATTCCAGGCAAACAATTTAGGTATTATAAAGCAGCACTTCTTATTTAATAGTTCTGGCTGCCTCTAATCCAGCATAAAAGTGAAAGTGAAAGTCACTCAGTTGTGTCAGACTCTTTGCGATCTCATGGACTATACATTCCATGGAATTCTCCAGGCCAGAATACTGGAGTGGGTAGCCTTTCCTTTCTCTAGAGGATCTTCCCAACCCAGGGGTCGAACCCAGATCTCCTGCACTGCAGGCAGACTCTTTAATCCAAGATATTGGTTAGTAAAGTTATACTGTATAAATTTTAATATCAAATCATTCAAGTCAGGGTCACCTTTTTGTCTTTTTAAACCACCTTCCTAGATCAAATTCCGTTATAAAATCCAAGGACTGTCTAAATTTATTTTATTTGAGAGCTGTGTTTCATCAAATATTCCTTGAAATTGTGGCACATTGGCTGGGTCCTCGTGTTTTGTTTATAATATTTTGATTGTTTTGTTACTCATGGTAAAGGGATTTGACATGGATGTCTGTGTTATGTTTGGCTTTTGTCATAAGCTTTGCAATCTCACTAATTTAATGTTGACTTTGTTGTACCATTACCAAACTAAAGGATAGAAATATAGGCATGCACTGCTGCCATCCTATTTCTGACACCAGGAAAATGCTTATGTCCTGAGGGACATCCAGTTAAGGGAGACTGGTAACATTTCTCATGAGTCAGATGAGGTTTTATCTGAATTCCATTCCATGAATAGTATTGGAATCAATTTTTACCATCTCTTTACTTCCTTTGGGCAAGGCACATTTCTGTAGAGTTGTGCTAATCTTGCAGAAAACAGATGTTTCATGCAGTGATGATTTGGAAGGCAGTTGATATCAGGAATTGAGCTAGATGGTGCATCTCTTACAAAGAATCCAATTTGTTGAGTCTCTGACAGTACCAGATTCTTCTCACATTAGCCACACATTTTTCATGTTAGTTCTTGGCTAAAACTAATAATAAGTAGTTATGTTTTTTGTTTTGGGGTTTTTTTTTTATTTTTGCAGTGACTTTTACCATCTCTTGCAAAGCAGTGTGATTTCCCTTGCTGTAAACTGATGTCCAGATAACACTGTTTGTTATCATTCATTGAGAAGGTCATAAATCTATATTTCTAGGAAAATATCAATCTTTTCCAAGAATCTTGTGCCTTCTGGTCCTCCTGTCCTCTTTGTCTTCTAACTGACTGCATCACAGTTGGGACCTCAGTACCCACTCTGTTTATTTTTTCCATCTTCCTTCACAATATCCCTGCGACTTGATGTTTAAAAGCATGATCTGCAATGTTGAAACTGGAGGATTGTTATGGTATAGAAAAACTTCATTTCGTAAGCCCTCTTTGCTTCCCTCAACTTTTCGCTTTTCTTTAGGTATATGTATTTCTTCAGATTGGAAATGCAATGGGCTCCTTCCTTCGGTAGCTTTTGTCTCAACTCCTTAGATATTCTTTTGTGGAATCTGCGGAAATGAACTGGTCTTAGTAGCTTGAGGACAAAAATCACTTTTTCCTCGCTGGCCAACCCTCCACCACCTCTTTTGCTATACTGGTGTGGTGACACCCAGAATGGACATCTCAGTTGTTGTTCGTCTCTTTATGACTCACCATTTCTGCTGCGGTCAGGACTGTACTCAGGAATGTGCACAAGCACACGTCCAATGGATGCTTCCCCTAGTAGTCCTAGCCTGGGAAACATCTTGGGAAACTACTCTGGCAAATCAAACAAAGGTCTTGGTGGTAAGGAACTAGAAATCAGTCTGGGATGCCATCAGGTCTACCCCTGGTGCATCTCCACCCCGCCTCAGTGGTAGATCCGGGAGGGGCGAGTAAGACACCCGTGTCAGTAAAGGACAGACTAAGTCTGACCAGGGAAGGAAAGCTTCGGTGGAGAGTCTGTCTACACCCCCATCTAGAGCAAGGAAGGACGCTTCCGGTGGAAAAAAGCCACAGCTGTGGATGCTGCTTTTTTTCTCTTTTATAGATGGGAGCTAGCAGTTCCAGAACCACTGCTTTAAAATGTATTTAAAAACTGGAACAAGTTCGATCCCCAGAATTTAAAAAGACACACCTGATCTTCTTCTGTGATACTGAATGGCCACAATATCCTTTGGAAGATGGAGAATGCTGACCTGATGAAGGATCTCAATTATTACTGTTTTACAACTGGACTGGGCTTCCCTCATAGCTCAGTCGGTAAAGAGTCTGCCTGCAATGCAGGAGACCCGGGTTCAATTCCTGGGTTGGGAAGATCCCCTGGAGAAGGGAATGGCAACCCACTCCAGTATTCTGGCCTGGAGAATCCCATGGACAGAGGAGCCTGGCAGGCTACAGTCTATGGGGTCACAAGAGTTGGACATGGCTGAGCGACTAAACACATATATACATCAGTCAACAAAATTTCTTAAGAGAACATACAGCTTATCCTATTATTCTCTAATAACAGAATAATGGCTGCACAAAGATGTCCACATTCCTAGTCCTGGAACCTTTGAATGTGTTATCTTACAAGGTACAGGGGATGTTACAGCTGTGATTAAATTAAGGATCTTTAGATGGGGAGAATTAGCCTAGGTAATCCAGGTGGGCTGAGGTAACCATAAGGATCTGTATAAATAAAAGAGGAAGATGGGAGTCAGAGTGAGAGAAAGATGCGACTATCAAAGCAGAAACAACAAAAACTGGTTAGAACCTACTAGGCCGAAGATGGTGGAAGATTTGACTTCCACTAGACCCTGACCTTCATTACATGCTCATTATAATACATCAGTATATGCTAACTGATACACCCACAGATGCTGTGACAGTTCAGAGGCTAACCATAAAAGGCCAAAAAAGTGGATGATGGCCCAATTCCTACCCCTTCCCCAAAATAGCTTGAATAATCGTCCCACTCATTAGTGTATGAAGTTACCCAGCCCATAAAAACTAACCATGCCTTACCCTAGGGCCTCTCTCACCTTCTGGAAGGGCCCACAGTCTATCAAGGAGTGTGCATCTCCCTGAATAAATCTGCTTTCACTCTGCTTCAGCTCCCTCTTGAATTCCTTCCTGCTGGAAGCCAAGGGCCCATCCCAAGGACTCACCAGAGATCTAGGATGTGACCATTCTCTCATACCTTCTTCTCCTGCAAGAAAATCATATTCTCTGGGTATAGAAAATTGACTGGAAGCAACCAATTAGGGGCTGTTTCTCTCACCTATATGATTTTATCTGCAAAAGAGAAGAAAGAAACAAAATAAATACGTTCCTTGTTTCATCCTTCGTGCTCTTCTGAACAAAAAACATTAAAGTGTTGAAAATAAAAACACATCTCTAAAGTAGAGAGGGAAAGGGATTAACAAACAATGCCGTCATGCTGTCATGACAAGGACACATCAAACAAATCCAAACTGAGCGGCATTCTACAAAATAACAAGTCTGAGAATAGCACTGAAACATATACATTACCATATGTAAAACAGATAGCCAGTGGGAATTTGCTGTGTGATACAAGGAGCTCAAATCCAGTGTTTTGTGACAACCTGGAGGGGTGGGGTGGGGTGGGATGGGGTGGGAGGTGGGAGGGGGCATATGTATACCTATGGCTGGTTCATGGTGATGTTTGGCAGAAACCATCACAATATTGTAAAGCAGTTATCCTCCAATTAAAAATAAATAAAATAATTTTAAAACAAAATAATAAGTCTGTACTTCTAATGAAGAAAAAGACTGAAAAACCATTTCATATGAAAGGAGATTAGAAGTGACAATGCCACACGTGAACCTGAATTCCATCCTGGTCTAGACATGTATTTTTCTTTTTTGCCCTAAAAAGCATTACTGACACAATTGGCTCAATTTAAATGTCTGCACATAGCTTATAGTATTACATTAATGGTCATATTTTTTCACTGATATTGTATCAATGTCATCATTTTTATAAGTGCACTCGGGTTATATTGGAAAATACTCTTGGTTTTAGGAAATACTTGCTGAAAATTACTTCAAAGTAAAGGGGTATCATGTCTCCAAGTTTACTCTCAAGTATTTCAGAAAAAAAAACAATGATGTGTATTTCTAGAGAGATTGATAAAGCATATGTGATTTCAGGTTAGCTTTTGGAGAATCTGGGTGAGTGGCATATGGTAAATCTCTATTTTGGTAGCTTTTCTGTGTCTGACATTATTTCAAAGTAATAGTGAAGTGAAGTGAAAGTCACTTAGTTGTGTCCAACTCTTTGCGATCCCATGGACTGTACAGTCTATGGAATTCTGCAGGCCAGAATACTGGAGTGGGTAGCCGTTCCCTTCTCCTGGGGACCTCCCCAATCCAGGGATCGAATCTCGGTCTCCCACACTGCAGGTGGATTCTTTACCAACTGAGCCACCAGGGAAGTCCTCAAAGTAATAATTAGCAAATACTGTGGTGGGATAGGAGGAAGAGGGAAATATCCAGTGGATCTGCCTGCTGTCCAGGAGGCCAGGCATGGGGTCCATGGTGAATGAGCTGCCTGCCCAAGCTGGGTGTCGCAGTATCTAGGGGGAAGCTCTTAGGAACCAACACTTCTTTGGGGTGGGGCATCCAGTGTGACCCACAGTTTGGGGAGAGGTTCCTGCTCTCCTTAGCCCTATTGCCTTCTCCCCTTCCCAACCCAGAGCTAACCTTTGTCATGGATTTGGCGTGTCACCAGGCCATATTTTTCTACTTTCTCTACATGTACATGTATAAGCAGCTGTTGGAAAGCTCATTGAAATGAACTTAAGACTGAGGGAGGAGGAAAATGAGTTGGGTTAAGGCAAGGAACATAGGCCAAGAAAAGTTCTCACTAGGGATGTTTGCAGGAATTGGGAACCTCCCTGGAAATGAGAGCAAATGCCACAGAGAATGATTTACGTGTTTAAAAGAAAAGTTTTACACGTCATCTGTTGGACTGTATGTAGGAAGTCTGTCTTAAATGTGTTTCCAATTAAACCAAGCAACGGGTCCAGGGATAAAATGTGACCTTCCTCCCAACTCCTGTTCTGTGTCATAGCCTCAGGGTGGGAGGGAGAGCCCTTCCCAGCTGTGAAGAGCCAGTGGCTTGGAGACAATCTTTTCAAGGCCTGTGACCTCAGACAGCAAAATGTCAGGATGTATCCATTTCTGGTGCAGTACAGAAAAGTGAGAGGAAAGATAGAGGAAGAAAGAGTGATGGGAAGGACCTGGAAATCTCACAAGAGAACTCTTTGTTGATATCATCCTGCTCTTAGCAGAGAAGGAATTCCAAGAAAATGTGGTAGTTTGTGAACATATATAAGCATTCACCCAGTTTGACTGTTATTTTGCTATAGCTTTAAGAAACGAATGCTTAGTGGATATAAACAAGGTTTAATAGAAGTGCAGGTAGACAACATGTTAAAAACAAGGAAAAAAGGAAATTACCCTCTGTTTCTATTTTATTCCCTCTGTACCTTCTAACCAGTATCATGAGTTGTGTTAGTAGTGGTGAAGGTGAACTCTCTATCATAATAGAAGACTTGTGCAAGGAACAAAAATAGGTGAATGCACATAGTACATTGACCTGGCCATTTGGTCCTTCTGGATAAAAGATTTAAAAAGATAAAAAGGGAAAGAAAACAGACCAAGGCAATTATGTGTGGACTAATTTTCTGCTTGGAGGATGAGGACAATGAAGCGAAGGAGGTAGAGGAGAAATGATATTGGGACAATCGCAATGATTCCAAATAAAAACCCACTTGAGCAATTGAGAACTTTGAGGTCCTGTCAAACTCAGAAACCATTAATTTTTTTTATATCTTTCAACCATGAGCAGAGGATCTATTATGTCAGTCACAGCATGTTCTTGCAATGGAATGCTTTGCAGGCTTTCCCAAGGATGGGTTATTTCTCTATGTTTTGACATGGAAAGGTATCCAAAATAGAATACTGAGTTCTAGTTTTTAAGCAAACAATATATAGTGCATAAAAGAAAAAAAGGAACTTCCCTGGTGGTCCAGTGGTCAAGACTCCTGGCTTCCAGTGCAGGGGGGCATAGGTTCAATCCCTGGTCAGAGAAGATCCCACATGCTGCATGGTGCATCCCCGGCCCCCCAAAAAAAGAAAAAAAGAAACTGAAAGCATAAATATGAAATTGTTAATGATATTTATGGGCTGGGAACGGCTAGCATGTGTTTTCAGCATCTAGCATGAACCTCCCTCTTCCATACTGCACACAACATGAAGATCCGTGACCTTGTCTTTCTCTTCTGTCTCCATCACAACCAGTTCACATGAGTGGTAGCTGGGCTCTAGATGGTGGGAGGTCACGTTCAGAAGACTGAGCCAGTGGTGCAGTAAGGAAGCAAAAGTGCGCGTGTGCTCTGAGCAGATAGATTTACTTCCAGAGCCCTTAAACACATTCTAGTCAAATCTTGGGGAGGAAAAACTGTGAAAGAGGAGGATGAAAAAACATCATCCAGCATCCACCTGAGTGTCTGTCTTTGTTTTGCCATCCTTTAGGTTTTCTGAACCAGACTCAGTTTATGTTAAGTTTGATCAGTCATGCCTTATTGTGTGGGCCCCTCTTGCACATTTTAACCCACCTGGCAGCACAGCCACATCCTCAGTGTCTACCTTGTCCTCTATAATTCTTCACCGCGTTGACTCTCCCACAGACCTCAATCTGGATCCTGCCCTTGTACCTTGGACACAACCCTGCATTCCCTGCGCGAATCTTCTTTTTCACCAAAGACACACGGAGTGATGTCCTGATTCTGTTTTGAGCTGGCCCCTCCTACATTCATGTCCCTCAGTGGCACTGAACGATCTCCTCTGGGCCACAGGGACAGTACATAAATATCTGTGGAAATCCAATGCTGGTGCCAAGAGAGCAGATAGTGGGTTGTCTGTGTTTCTGAGTTCTTGGCCCACGGGTCACAGTGGGAATCTGGCAAATGCTATGTACCCTTTTCACAGAAAAGCTTATCCACTTGAAAAATTCTGTGGACAGTTCCAAGGAGGGCACAAGCCATCTGAAGCCCATTCATCCCCCAAAGATTATGCCTCTCCACATCCCTGGGACTGATGCTCTGTTTTAGGACAGAAAAGAGAGTGTTCACTGGAAACTAAAATGCAACTAAGTAAGGAGAAGCACATTTCTAGCATTCTTTTTACACTTAAAACTACTTGGAGGTCCAAGGAACTGAAGATAAGCCAAACTAGCGAGTTGTAGTTATTAGCATGATGTTCTACCTAGAAGGAACAGCTTGTTTGTTAGTACAGCTGTTGGCATATAGGTATACAGTCAGTAAGTAGCATACTGTCTGCTTGGGTGGTTCTTAAACATTTGGTAACAAGTCATTTAGGTTTAGTTCTGTGTGGTATGTGCATGTGCACGTGTGTGCACATGTGCATGAATTTGTGTGTGCAAACATGCATGTGGGAGTGTGTGTTCTAAGCAGTTTATAGAACTTAAATGTAAAAAAAATATGTATCTAAAAGATTTGATCTCCAAACTTATCGTTTATATCTGTTATATAAGCTTTTATGTTTATATTTCAAATAGAGATATTGGTAAATATTTGATACTGTTATCCCTTTGTTCCTTTTGGCATTATGGACACTAACCTTTTAATGTCGCTGGTCCCTTTTCAGGGTGGACAAGCTTCATTTATACCATATCTGGAAATGTGTATATTGGTAAGTGATGAGTCTGTTGCTTTGGGTTCAATTGCAATATAAACTACTGCCAGGAAGGAAGGATAAGATGGAACCTTTCATGTAATTGAATCCTTTGCCTCCTCCTGTCCAGCACTAGCCCTCTCTACACTGTAGTACATACTGGTATCCCCAGGGCAGGGCACCTCTCAGCTTCCAGCATGGTCAGTGAGGGAGAAGAATAACAGCACCAGTCATGACAGGAGCCATTTTACTGTAGCCTGTGTGCAAATGTCAGGTCCAGCCATGATTTTGTGGGCTGACACCTTGCTAAGTTGTTGGCAACCCCCATACTGATAAAGGGGCTTCCCAGGTGGCACTAGTGGTAAAGAACCCACCTGCCAATGCAGGAGACTTAAGAGATGTGGGTTCAATCCCTGGGTCGGGAAGATCCTGGGATGTGGAAGAAGGTGAATTTGCTGTCCCAGGTGCTTCTGAGAAGTCTCAAAGTGAGGCCTTTTCTTTGAGTTTCCTGGAGGGATTATATTCAAGCTATCCACGTGAATGTGCCCCTGGTAACACATCCTTCCTTGTCTGCCTTCCCTTTCCTGTCTAACTTTCCCACTGCCTAGACGTGTTTCCTGGGACTGCCTCCCAGATAAACTCCTTGGACTCAAATATGCACCTCAGGCTGTGATTCTGGGAAAAGCTACAGTAAGAGAACCAGCTTCCTTTCTCCCACTCGGTGCTCTTCATGGACAGGATAGGTGGTGTGGATGGGGGTGGTGGGAATAGAGCAGACCATCTGACCACTCCAAGATGCAAGCCAGGAATCCCATTTCTGAGACCCTCTTCGGTTGGGGGCTCTCCTCCCCAACCTGCAGCACAGCCTCCTCAACAATGAACTTGCTGTCCTGACATGACTACCTCCTTGGACAACATACTCCCAGCCCCAGACAGCTGACTTCCTGGTACACTCTGCTCAGGGCTGGAAGGCCACACCCAGAGCCATTTAAACTATTCTTTATATTCTCCAAAATGCGAGTTATCATTGCCTGAATTTAATCTTCTGAAAAATGGTAACCTAGAGCTTGTGTGTTTTGATTTTATATCATAGAAATGGGCTTAGTTCCTCTATTACCAATTAGCATTTCAATTATGGTTCAGAAGCAAAATTCATTTCTTTTGGCATTTGAGAAAGTGTGAAAACAATTTAGTAGTAGTATCACGAGTCCATTGGCATACACATCAAACTGTATTAACCATCTGGAAGGGATGAAGCATCATTTGTTTTTTATGATCTTTCGAAAATCTTGGTTTTCACATAGTATATACTTTCTACAAATGGAGAGTAATAGCCATTTTTTTAATGGAGGTAGCACCCCTGACTTAGCATTTCAAGAGAAATAAAATAATGCACAAATGGAAAGTAATAAAGAAAACACATGGATTCAGAGCTGGTTCGGATACCAGAAATGTATAGAATGTGAAAGGACGGGGGCAGCAGATTTTCTCCAAAGGACCAGCTAGCAAGTATTTTCATCTTCGCAGGCCGTACAGTTTCTGTTGCAGTGACTCATTCCTGCCTTTGTAGCACAATAGTAGTCACAGGTGATACATAAACGATTGGGGTGGTTGTTCCAATGAAACTTGATCCATGGCCAGTGAAATCAGAATTTTATACATTTTTCATGTGTCATGAACTACTCCTCCTGGGATTTTTCCCGATCATTTAAAAATGTAAAAATCCTTCTTAGCTTGTGTGCTCTACAAAAGCTCACATTTGGTTCTGGTTTTACAGGCAAGGAAAAATCTTTCCTCTACTGTTCTAGGTTCTCTTTTTGGCTGGGCTATGAGTTAAATCAACATAAGACAGATTAACAGTAGAAAAACAAGCTTAATTACAATACGTACAGGAGTCCCATAAGATATGAGACCCAAAGGCAAGTTGGGCAGATGCCATCCTGAGCTAAAGAATGAAACAGGGACCTGGGGCTTCAAAGGGGAAGAGGGTGATTCACAGGATGATAAGAAGAGCAGATGTGGGGTCATGAGACGTTTGCCATGCCATGCACGTGGGTCATTCAGATAAAAAGTTATCTCTGGTGATAGTTATTTGTACCAGGCTCCTTATGTGAATTCCTTTAGGTAGGAATCTTTTGGGCCTTGATTGTCTTCAGCTGAAAACAATCTGCATACCAAAGTGGCATATCTTGGAGAGGCTCTGAACCTGTTCAGTTTAAATGGCATTGTAGAGGTTGAAGGGGAGAAAGATGAACAGATAATCTTCAAAACCCGTTTCAGCCAGTAGGTACAACCTTGTTTCCTGACCGACCTTTAGTCCAAGAGTTTAACAAGTGAAAAGAGTTCAGTGGTTTGAGGGATAAGAAAGGCTTACACACCCACTTGTTTTTCTCAACGTGAGGCAGGATTTTCCTGAGTCATCTCTACTCATTGGCCCTGTCACTTCTCATGACCATGAGCCACAAGTGCAAAACATCTGGCAGGAAATGGGGTCACAGTCTGGAGTGCTGGAGCAAACTTGCATCTGTCCAGGGTAATGGGGACCATGGAGAGGATGTAGCTCATGAAACTGCCCTCCTGGGAATCTGCTTCAGCCAATGAGGAGCTGGCCAGATGACCTTTTATCTCCTTCTGTTCATCCTCTCCTCCCCCTAATGGAGATGGTCATGAGAAAAACAAAAGGGCAAGAACAAATAACTAGAGAAGAAACAGCAAAACAGAAATAATGTGTGCTGACCTATAAAATCTAGAGAGAATCCTGAAACTGCTCTCTGATTTTATTGCCTCAATTTTATCTTGATTATAAAACCAGGATGGCACCAGCCAACCAGATGGCAGGAAGTGATAAGCAAGTAATTGTCTTTTTCAAGCTGTCAGGTACCTCCATTCTATTGAAATAGATGTTATAAATATGTACTTAACTATGGGGCTGGAATATATAGACTGCAGTTTGGTTGGAGAAGGTAGCCTGGGGAATTCCATAGATGGAGATTTAAGAGGACTATTAAAAATATTAATTGATACAGGAAGTACTTAAAAGATGGACATCAGTAGATTTAGTTTGAGTAAGAACAGATGGAATTTGAAGGTTAGAAAATGCTGGACATTAACTAGTTGTCTAAGTTAGATTCTTTTTCTTGAGTATTTTGTTTTTAATTGGAGGATAATTGCTTTACATTGTTCTGTTAGTTTCTGCTGTACAACAAAATGAATCAGCTGTATGTATACACATATCTCTTCCCTGTTGAGTTGCCTTCCCACCTCCCAATCCCACCTCTTCAGGTCATCAGAGAGCACCAAGCTGAGGTCCCTTCATTATACAGCAGCTTCCCACTGGCTATCTATTTTATGCATGATAGTCTATATATGTCAGTGCTACTCTTTCAAGTCATGCCAGCCTCTCCAGCCCCCTGTGTCCACGAGTTTGTTCTCTATGTCTCTGTCTCTATTCCTGCCCTGCAAATAACTTTATCAGTACCATTTTTCTAGATTATGTATATAACTGTTACTATATGAAATTTCTCTTTCTGACTTACTTTACTTTGTATGACAGAGTCTAGGTTCATTCACATCACTATAAATGACCCAATTTCATCCATTTTATGGCTAAGTAATATTCCATTATATATATGTACCACAATTTCTTTATCTGTTCTTCTGTCAATGGACATCTAGATATTTTTAAGTTCATAGTGAGTACTTCCCTGGTGGTCACGGGTTCTATCCCTGATCTGGGAAGATCCCATATGCCGTGGGGCACCTAAGCCCACATGCCACAACTACTGAGGTGGTACTCTGGAGCCCAAGACTATAGCTACTGAGCCTGTGTGCTGCAGTTATTGAAGCCCGCGAGCCTAGAGCCTGTGCTCTGCAACAGGAAGCCACCACAGTCAGAAGCCCACACACCGCAACTACTCAGTAGCCCCTGCTGGCTGCAACTAAAGAAGGCCCGCGTGCAGCAACGAAGATTCAGAGCAGCCAAAAATAAATCAATACTTTTTCTTAAAAATTTAAAAAGTGAAGTTCATGGTGAGTATGGTGAAGCCATATGCTGCTGCTGCTGCTAAGTCGCTTCAGTCGTGTCTGACTCTGTGCGACCCCATAGACGGCAGCCCACCAGGCTCCCCCGTCCCTGGGATTCTCCAGGCAAGAACACTGGAGTGGGTTGCCATTTCCTTCTCCAATGCATGGATGCATGCTAAGTCACTTCAGTCATGTCTGACTCTGTGTGACCCCATCGACTGCAGCCCACCAGGCTCTTCTGTCCACAGGATTCTCTAGGCAAGAATACTGGAGTGGGGTGCCATTTCCCCTCCGGGTGAAGCCATATAATTGCCCACTAATAACACCCTGAGGCTTCCCTGATAGCTCAGTTGGTAAAGGATCCACCTGCAATGCAGGAGCCCCGGTTCGATTCCTGGGTCGGGAAGATCCACTGGAGAAGGGATAGGCTACCCACTCCAGCATTCTTGGGCTTCCCTTGTAGCTCAGCTGGTAAAGAATCTGCCTGCAATGCAGGAGACCTGGGTTCGATCCCTGGGTTGGGAAGATCCCCTGGAGAAGGGAAAGGCTACCCACTCCAGTATTCTGGCCTGGAGAATTCCATGGACTGTATAGTCCATGGGGTCACAAAGAGTCGGATACGACTGAGTGACTTTCACACAACGCCCTGAAGAAGTGATGGAATTAGCAGAACTAAAATAAGACAAATAGAATTAGTACTTCCTTATTTAAGAGTATATTTGAAATGTTTTATGATTTTCCAGGATCTTCTTATTTTCTGATACATTGTGTTTTTTTCAAGCCTACAGGCTGACTATTGAATAGTAGCTTTAAAAATGGTGCAGGAGAGAGACCTTTGATAGCAGTCTTTTATTGAGGCAACAAGTATCTTGACCAGCCCTCAGCTGAAATCTTCTGTGGTATATGATTTTAAAAAAAATTTAAACAACATGATTAGAAAGCCAGCAGTTTCCTAGGATACCAGTACTGGACCTCTTCCCTGCAGCTGAAATGAA